AAGGCAGTTTACGGATCTGTATTTATGATGAGGTCTGGTGGAAAAATAGCAAGAATAAACCATACAGGAAGTCTAATTCTAGCAGGAAGCTGCTTTGAAATAACATCATACTTCACTAACCCCCATCTGATGTCCTCCATAACCAGTTTGGATAACAATAAAATACCCTGTAACTTGCCATATTTTATTTTCTTACAGTGGTTCCATTGTTTGGTGGTGGCTCTGAAAGTGCCTGCTCTTACAGGAGCATTGAGACTGTGGTTTTGACACTCCAAGCAGACTGCAAATGAGCTAAATTGCTTGCCCAAGTACATGTTTCTATGGGTGAAAGGTTCTCCTTAAGCCTCTCAAAAGCAAAACAGGCAGCAGTTACTGGTTTGGATTTGTAGTTGCAGAAGAAAGCAGCTGGCTGGCATTATAGACATTCTGAAGTGCTTGTCTTTCAGAATTATAAAGAACAATAGGAATAAAAGTTCTTTGATGGCGCAGAGCTGATTTTATTTTATGTACTTATTAACAGGCACACTTTCTCCCCATTGGAAGGAATTTAAAAAAAAAAGAGTCCAGTACCCTGAAACAATAAAATAAGTAAAGACAGGTGTCTGTTTTCACATCTTGAGATTAGCTGAGTCTCCCACCTTCCTTTTCCAGGCTTCCCTGGTAAAGGCCCTGTCTGATGCCTGCCTGCTGGCCTGACTATACTTTGATCTGTGAGGCATGTAAATGTACATGTTGCCTTTGATCTAGTACTTAGTTGCTCTTATTTAAATAGATAGCTTCTTTTAACTGTTCAGTGTTTACTCTGTCTCTCTGCCCCCTCAAAGTTGGCTTAAATTGCTATTATTTATACAGAAAGGTATTTCCTAAGAGTTTAAGAGGGCTCTGACCTGAATTCTATTTTGGGGGTGGGTATTGTTTTTTGAGACAGGGTTTCTCTGTGTAACAGCTCTAGCTATCCAGGCTGGGCTTGAACTCATAGAGATTGGCCTACCTCTACTTCCTAAGTACTGGGATTACGGGTGTAAGCCACCACTGCCCCACAAAAATTTATTTATGTATTCGTTTATTTATTATGTATACAGTGTGCTGCCTGCATGTATGACTGCAGCCAGAAGAGGGCACCAGAACTCACTATAGATGGTTGTGAGCCACCATGTGGTTGCTGGAAATTGAACTCATGACCTCTGGAAAAACAGTCCATGCTCTTAACCTCCAAGAGCCATCTTTCCAACTCCCTTTATTCCCTAAATTCTAAAATCCTAAAGCTCTGTTGTAGATTTTGTAAAGCCAAACTTCTACTAAAATGAGCTACTGTTATAGATGTTGTATAATATTAGCAAAACATTTGTTTTTTAATGGGAGTTTATTCTTTTCAAAGAATAGTAAATATACCCTACATATTGGCCAAAATGCTTATATCAGAGTCTAAAGCCAGTTACTTTTATGAATATTAGTCCAGACTTAATATATTTTCATATTGCTGAATTAAAATACCATATAAAATACATAGAACAGTACTTTTTAAGAAAAAGGATTATATATATTTATCCTTGAAATAATTTCTTGTACATTTTTTCAGGTGTTTTATTGATTTGCTACTGGGTTTCCTATGTTTCAGCCTGTTATTCACTCAGTAAATTGTAATAGGAAGTGATGCAAAGAAAATTACATCAAAATTATGTAATAGGGTAGGAACACAAAGAAAATTATGTGACAATTAGGGCATGCAAGTAGGAGACAGCAGGCAAAGACCAGCAAACATTTACATTCAAGTATGGCCAAAGCCTTCATCCTGGCTTGAGAGTGGTAGGCAAAGCTTCCTGGAAGAGGCAGCAGCTAAGTGTTACTAAAGGACAACTGACTCAGACCTCATGGCCCTGTACATTCTGTCCAAGCCTACATCACAACACAAAACTACATATGCAGAAACTCTCTAACTTAATACAAGTAGCCTAAACCTTAGAGAACGCCTAAAGTTTGAAAGGCTTCCTGCCTAAAGCTATTCCAAAAGCCTTCTTACTTGTCATCCAACACTAAAGGGACCCTACTACCTCCCATACACTGTTTTTCTACACAGGTCTTAGAACTTTCAGCTCTATTCACTTAAAGGTGTGTTGGTAATTTCCCCTCACAATACCAAATATCTGAGATAAGCTACTTTGAGAGAATAAAAGTTCATGTTACTGTGGTCTCAAAAAGTCCATTGTCATTGGCTCTTCTGCTTTGGGGCCTGTTGTGAGTCAGAGCATTATGGCAGAGAGCATGCATGCTTGAGCAAAGCTGTTGTCCTCTTGACAAATAGGGGACAGAGAGAGAAGAGGTGCTAGGGTCCCAGTATTTTCATATGGGGCATGTCTCTAACGATTTAGCTTTGTCTTCCATAGGGCCTCTTCTATAAAGGTTCCACCACCTTCTAATAGCACCATAAACTGGAGTCTGAGCCTTAAATTTCCTCTGTCTCTCACTCTCTCTTTCCGTCTGTCTCTTACACACACACACACACACACACACACACACACACACACCTTGCCCTGTTGTTTTAAAAGTACTTGTGGTACGATCTTTTCCATGCCTTGATGGTACACAACAAGTTTTGGTCCTCCCTGGTCCTGCAGGAGTTTAGTCCCAAATTAACACACAGAGGTTTATATTAATTATAAACTGTTAGGCCGATGGCTCAGGCTTCTTATTGGCTAGCACTCTTTATTTTTTCAGATTTTTTTTAATTTGAATTAGAAACAAGATTGTTTTACATGACAATCCCAGTTCCCTTCTCCCTCCCTACCTCCCCTACCACCCCCCCCAACTAAAGCCCTACTTGTCACATATCCTTTCTGCTCCCCCTGGATGGTGAGGCCTTCCATAGGGTGTCATCAGAGTCTATAGTATCCTTTGGGATAGGGCCTAGGCCCACCCCCTTGTGTCTTGGCTCAGGGAGTATTCCTCTATGTGGAATGGGCTCCCAAAGTCCACACCTATGCTAAGGATAAGTACTCAACTACTATAGGAGGTCCCATAGATTTCCGAGGTTTCCTCACTGAAATCCATGTTCCTGGGGTCTGGATCAGTCCCATGCTGGTATCCCAGCTATCAGTCTGGGGCACAAGAGTTCCCATTTGTTCAGATCATCTGTTTCTGTGGGTTTCACCAGCCTGGTCTGGACCCCTTTGCTCTTCACTTGCACTCTCTTAATTGTTAACCCATTTCTGTTAATCTATGCATCGCCACTTAGTCTTGGCTTACTGGAGAATGCCCAGGCGTCCTATCTTCCCCGGTAGCTACATGGTGTCTCTCTCCTCACTCTCTGCATTCCTCTTCACAGAATTCTCCTACTCTGGTCACCCTCCTATACTTCTTGCCTGGCTACATCTTGCCTATCTATTGTTCAAAAAAGCTTTATTCATTAACCAATAAGAGAAACATATATTCACAGCATGCAGAAGGACATCCCTCATGACACAAGCATCTTAAATCAAAGCACTGATCCTGGTTTGGACAGAGGACAAAAGTTTGGAGAGTTGTCAAAAGAAGTGATCATTTGTTACCTACTTAATTGTTACATTAGAGCTTTCCTGCTATTTGGAGACTAGAACCTGATCTCAGATTCAAACTGGGTTTGTAGAAGTGGGAAGAAAAAGCTGGGCTCTAAATGATATAAGGTTGTAAGTGACTGAGAACAGGGCAGCAAAGCCAGTGCAGACTAAAGAGTGCTGAAAGCACACAAGAAGGATTTGGGTTTTTTTCTGTTGGGGGAAAAGAACCCATGAGGCTGTGAAACTGAAAAGTGAAGGGTGACCCTCAGTACTTTCCATATCCCTTCCCACCACACATCATCATGTTTCTGAAAGCCTCACATTTTAGGTTGTAGGAGCTGTACTTAAAGAAATAACCCCCCACCCCCAAGCTCAGGTGGACTAGATCTTACAAGCCTGGGCTGCCTGGCTACCACACTGACTGGTCTTGAGCCTGGACTTCTTTTCATGAGACTAGTTTCCCCCAAGGGACCCTAGTGTCTAGCTCTGTGTTCATAGGAGGCTCTCAGAGAGCAGTCATTCATCATGTCTTAAATGCTCTAAAGGTATGGCTTCATTCTAGCTCTTATGGAACTTCTACCTCTCTCTGGACCCCCAAATTCCACACCAAAGTAGAACTCAAAGAATGGGAATTTTTAAGTCTTAGGAAAAAAGACAGAGTGAACAGAATGGAAGGGAGATACTCAGGCAAGCCCATGTAAACAGTGAGGGAAACATGCTTGGATGATGGAGACTAACATTATATTGGGAGCACTGGAAAAGCTTTTTCAAAGTATTGGGATTCAAACCCAGGGCCTTGTGCATACTAAGCAAGTATGCACAACTGAGCTAAAGCCCCACAGTCCCTCTCTAGCCTAGGTTAGCCTCAAAATTATCATAGCTTCAGCCTTTAAAGTACTGAGATTATAAGATGTTGTCACCATGCCAAGCTTTTAAAAATTTATTTAATAAGTTACTGAGCATAGGTAGTCTGTGGCCCCTAACTTTGGGAAAAACAAATGGTTTTGATTCCTACCCAGACTATATGACTATAAAGGGCAATCCTCAAGAAAATCAGGGAACTATTGCTAGAAGAAAGATGGGGAACAGATGCTGGAAAAGTTAAAAGCAGAAAGTACTGACAGTAGTATCCTTGCACTAACTTATATTTTCTTACAGCTATCATAAAGTTAAAATATATATGACTGACATGATTTCATAGAGCATGACAATATGTCATCTACCATGACCATTCCTGGTGCTTTCTTCATATCAATTAATCAATTTCAAGTTCACTCCTACTATTATTTTACTAAGAAGGACATCAAGGCACAGAGAGAATAATCAACTAGTTCAAGTTGAATCCAACAGTCTGAATCCAGACCCATGTAAAGGTATAAGTAGAAATGCACAGGCATCAATTGCTTCAGTGTTGGAATGGTGAGATGCTGACTTCTTTAATAATTGTCTCTCTCCTTTCTTCTCAAGTGCTGCTTAAGCAGAGCTGAGGCCAGGCGGGATGCAGCTAAAGTGGCGCTCATCAACTCTCTCTTCAACGAGCTGCCCTCCCGAAGGATCACCAAGGAGTTCATTATGGAGAGTGTTCAGGAAGCAGTGGCCTCCACCAGTGTGAGTACCAAAGGGAGGCAAGAGGTGGTTTCTATAAGAATGTGAGGACATTTGACTCTTGGGAAATAATAAAGTAAGCACATTTCTCATTTCAACAATATCCAGGTTAAATTTTTGCCTGTCTACTCATTAAAGTTTAGCAAAACGGATCCTTTGGTTAGAAATCATGAAAGTGAAGCCGGATCTCCATTGTGTGTCTGATAATCCTCTTGACATGCCAGACTCAAAACTGATTACATTTTAGACTGAGGAGGATCACATGATCACACTGATTTCAATGTTTGATATTTGAGGACTATAGATTTTTTTAAGGCCCAAGGATGTATGCAGTTAAAGAATGATTTATAATCTAGTGATAAACTAGCTCTAATTTTCCCCAAACTTCACTAATTATGCTAAATATTCAAAGTCCTTGCTGTAATAATAATTCCCCAGCCAATGTGCAGCCTTGCAGTTCATAGTGTAAGAACTATGGGTTGCTTAGACAGCTCCGTGTATTAGAAAAATCATGGTTCCTAGCAGTTTATATCTTCTGGTAAGCTTTGAAACATTCTGTGATAAATACAATTAGATGCATTGAGAGAAAAACGAGAACAACAAAATGTGTCTTACAAATTTAAATAGGGAAATTTCTCAGCAATCCAGGACTAGATATTTACTTGTCCAATAAATGGTTGAAAATTCCTCCAGCTGTAAGCCTCAGAGGAAACCTGGGCCCCACCTATAGCAGATGGTTTTCTGAGTGTGCTTATGGGCAGGAATTTGAGTCATAGAAGGGCAAATTCTTGTCATTTTTCTTCTGTTTCTCAGCTCCCCTCCCCCTTTTTGTAGGGTCTTACTATGTAGTCCTGGCTGTCCTAAAACTCACTATGGAGACCAAGCTGGCTTCAAACTCACAGGAATCTGCCTGTTTCTGCCTCCTGAGTGGGTGCTAGTACCAAAGGCCATTGTGCCAGCATCCCCAGGCCCCTTTTTTTCCTCCTGAGTTGAACTGACAGATTTTGTCTTTCCAGGGAAGCTGCTCATGAAAGAGCCAATCAGACTGTTAGAGGCCCTTTCCCTTGGGGAAGAGATGGGGCAGCAGGACAGAAGGACTAGTAGCCAGCCTAGCTGGGAAAAAAAATTAGAGAGTTCTGCACTATATCTGGTCTGAAGATAAAAGGAAGCCTTTATTTTCTGGCCCTGTAAATTTCAAGTGCCTTTGAGGAAGAGAAGTTAGGAAAATGATGCCTGATTTATATACATGTGGAATTTACTTAGGAGCAGGGAAGGGCCCTCAATGTAAATGTAATTTGTCATTTTTCATGGAAATTTCTAAAGAGAGAGAGAATATATATGGCTTGCGAGCTTCTGGATGGATTTCCCCTAGGATATTTAAAAGTCCAACATAAATATTTCAGGAGCAGTGTGTTAACGTTATTGCATTCAGAGCTATACATCTCCTGCTGTCTGATGCTGACAGTTGTTTGTTCAGTCTCACAACATTGCTAGTACCCACTGTCCTGGGAACCCAAGGCCGTGGGATACTGAAGGAAGCTCGAATGTCATTCCAGAGCTTGTGTTTGCTGCTTCGTGTCATTCTTCACAACCACACTGAAAAAGAATCTCATTTCTACCAGTCACCCACCTTGCTTCTTAAATATTAAATAGTCTGAGAGTAAAAAAAACATATATAAACCAATACCCATGCTGTTGGCATGGTAAACTTCCCTTTAAGAGTCAGGCAAGAAAGAAGGAATGGGCCACACACCTGTACAGTTCTTTCGATTTCTGTTATACAGCTTTGTCTGAAATCTGGATAAGGCCAACATTGTAAGATTTCAGTAAGCCACAATAACAGCCATGGAGAACAGTCACATGAGCATTAACGCATCACTGACAAGAAATCCTAAGAAAGAAAAAAAAAGGGAATTCCTGCTTTGGGTTTATTATCCTATTAACAGTTATACAATCTGCTAGCATTTAGAGCAAAAGCCACATTCAAGCTGATTACAAAACACTCTTTACTTGAGTCATGGTAAATGAGATTAAGTGTCTTATCCAAGAGCAACTGGATATTAATGCCTTTAGGCCAATAATAGGATTAGGTCCTATTCATTCAAAGAGGGGGAGGAATTATCAGTGACATTTGCTTTGTTTGCTTTCCTTCCCAAGGGCACGTTAGATGATGCGGATGACCCCAGCACAAGTGTCGGAGCCTATCATTACATGTTGGAGTCAAACATGGGGAAGACTATGCTGGAGTTTCAGGTGACTAAGTCCCTGCCAGTTATTTATTTGATGACCCAATCGAGAAGCCTGGGAGATGTGCAACTATATTTATTTATTTATTTATTTATTTATTTATTTATTTATTTATTTATTTATTTATTTATTTTTAAGAGTATGTGTGTGTGTGGGGGGGTTGCACATAAGTTTAGGTACCTGTGGAGGACAGAGCATCAGATCACCCTGAAGCTAGAGTTACACTTAGCTACTGAGGCATCTCTCCAGACTCAAAACATGGAACTCTTATCATTAGCACTAATATCTTCTGCTCCAACAATCTGAATTTTAAAAGTTTACCCTTTTACAATTCAGCATGGTGACTGCATTTTAGCCACACTCACTAACCCAAATCAAACAGCAATCATGGCACACTCTGCTCTCATGAAGCTCCCTGTCTGAAATCTTCAGGGCCTCTGTCTTACAACAAAAAAGGAGAACTATAAAAAATCTATACTTGTTTTCAAACAGAACTATCCTCAAAGAGAAGAAAATAACAGGGGAAAACAGAATGGCATAAGAGAGGAGACACATCCATTCAAAACCCTACAGGACCTACATGTGGTGTGAGTCTCTTAGAAACAGATGAGTAAGGCCATCTTACTGAGTAAACCCAGTAACACTTCACCAGCTCTTCAGGACTAAGATCCCCTTTAAACCAAGCCAAATGGTTAAAAATTTTGCTTGTGATCATTCTTTCCTTAATTTCCAGAAGTCAGATAAAGATTTCCATAAGGGTACATTAAAAAGTATTACTTCAGTTCTGATATTTCTCCTAAACAAGATGTGCCTCTCCCTCCTGTCATGGAAACCAGCATTAGCAACATGTCATCCACAGCTGACGAACAATAACAGCTGAGGAACTCCGTTACTTATCACACACAATCCTCAGTTTATGGTTTCCCACATTTATGAAGGCATGAAAACAGCACCGTTTCTTGTCTCGTAGGTATATTGCTCAATAAATCCCAAAAGATATCTAATACTGTATTGTAAACTTTTGCCTAACTGCAAAACAACTGTAAGTGTTTTGAGTATCTTGAAAGTACATTCTGCTAGGCTGTGTGGTTCACTGGGCTAAGAGCACTATATACATTTTTTGGCTTACACATGTTTTCTAATTAAAATTGGCTTATTCTATCTGTATTTATAAAGCATAAAACAACATTAATGATAATAATGTTAGTATCTGATTCTTATTTGATACTTTCTTTGGCATAATATTGAGCATTTGACAATTATTAGTATAATTTAACCCTTACAACAATCACATGAGGTAGTTGTCACTATTCACGTGCTATCCAAGGAAGGTTATCTTATTTAGCAAATGGCTGAGCTCCAGGCTTCAGACCCAAGGGGCAATCTCTTTCCTTTTCTCACACATCTAATTCTTGTCATATACTTGTCTAGGCAGATGAAAATTCAGTAGTGATTTGGCAGTCAGTGTGTGTCCTTCTAAATAGTTAAGCTTAAATGAAGTCAAATATCCAATGACAGAGTACCAGAAAAAATTAATATGGAGTAGCACAGCCTTAATCTCAGTATTTTTATTTTCTTAGGTTCGATTTCAAGAAGTAATGAGATTTATAAAATTTTATGAACAAAAATGTTTATCACGGTAAAACTTAAATCTTTCTGTTGCAGCTGACTCCCAAAGCCACCAACTTTTCTCTGTAGTGGAAGAAGACATATGGAATATACTACCTGTTTTTAGCCTTGCTCGTTCCTTATCTCTAAATCAGTTTCTTCATTTGTGTATAAATCTGAGGAAATACCAGTACTACCTCACAGTACCAGTGTAAAGGTGAAATAGGACACAATAAGAAGAGTCTAGAGCAGCCTGGCATGTGGTTAACACCCCATGAAGTTTAAGGGTGACTCTGAAGAATTGTGTTACTTGAAAAGTCAGAGGCTGCTTGATGGATGGATTTACCCTGACACCTTTAGGTTATCATAAGCTTCATCAGAGGTAGGTAGCTCCCTGCCAAAATGCTTCATGGCCCCCTGCCTTACAGTGAATGGGGGAAAACTATAAAGGATCCATAACCCTCCCCTACAATCTAACCCCAAGCTTAAGAGAAAATAACAGGAGAAAGAATGACAGAAGAGAAAAGGCATACATTTAAAATCATACAGACCTATGTGTGTGTGCCTATCACTTTACGTCTGTGAGCTTGTCCAATCTGAAACTTTTTTTTCCTGCTAAATAAAAAGAATAGTGTCATTTTATAGAGCGAAAAACCTGGGCATTTATAAATCATCCAGAACAGCTCTTCTCATAAGGAGGAAAGTCATTTAGCTTTCTTCTTTAAGGAATATTTTTCAACTTCCTTTTTTATTTATTCTTTGTGCCTTTCACATCATGCTTCCTGATCCCACGCATCTCCCACTTCCTTGTGTCCACCCTCTAGCCCCTGCAATACCCCCCAAATAAAACAAAACAAAATTTAAGATGAAAAAGAGAAAGGAGGGTGGTAGAAAGGGAAAATCTCGTCATGGAAGATGCCGTGTGACACAGTGACTCACACAGTAAACCCCTTTTTGCTTACATCTTTACATGCAGGTCTTCACCTCACAGAAGCCTTAGCTTGGCTGGAGGCCCCTGTAGGAGGTCCCTGCTACACTAGCGACACTGGCCCTCACTGGCACTCTTCCTGGACATTCTTTTGCTGCCCCATGCTGTGGAGATATTGTAGCCCAGGGTCCCAGGATCCCCTACCCCTCCAGCAGATCACAGATGAGATGGATGCTGGGGTGGGCCAACACCCTGTTTCTGAGCCTGGGTGGTTGTGGGGTTGACCAGTTGGACAGCTCTCCCATTTTCACCACCAGGGTGAGTCCTCCGTCATTGCCCTGGCTAGTTCACCCCTTGAAGGGATGAGCAAGGGTGGGGTCAGTTCTCCCATTCCACATCCCCAGGGTCGTTCCTCCCGCACCTAACCCTTCAGAGCTAGCTCTACTATGTTGCCCTGTCGAGGTGAAAGACTCACTCTCCCACTGACACCTCTGTACCAAGAAGTTGTATGCGATTTAGTGTCTATTAAAAAAATAATGATTTTGAACACGGTTGGTTTACTCTGCCAAAGCAGGTGATGTAAGAATTTAAGAAAATAAAAAATCCTACCAAATACTATGAAAGGTTCTACTCAACCTCACCTCAGTACCCACTTTAATCCTTGCCTTGTTGGTCTGCTTCCTGTGTGGTCTGTAGTAAGGTGTTTAAATGACAATCATTTAAATCACACTCTGGAAATGCTTCACAAAGAAGGCTGGAGGCAGGATAGGGACGAAGGGAACAACAAAAGGCAGGGAAAACCCAAACCCCCCAGTCAGGATGAAGGGCATAGGTGGACAAGCTTTTCGTTCTCCTTCCGTCTGCCTGCTGATGCCCAGCAAGTTTCATGGGGTCTGGGTAGCTGCATCCCCATTTGTGTCTACTCAAAAAGGGAAGTGAATACAGACTTGGGCTATTTTCGGCAGAGACACAATTCAGGGCCCCTCCCCCTACTGGGGATGTCACTGAAGAGTGTTTGGATCTGGGAATGGATGACACTAGCAAAAAAAAAAAAAAAAAAAAAAAAAAAAAAAAAAAAAAAAA